ATAACCCCTATACCCCAATATACTAGAGTAGTTTCCGTTATTCCATATAACCCCTATACCCCAACATACTATAGTAGTTTCCGTTATTCCATATGACCCCTATACCCCAATATACTGTAGTAGTTTCCATTAAACCCTATAACCCCTATACCCCAATATACTATAGTAGTTTCCATTAAACCTATAATCTGGATAACCCTAAACCCTAAACCCGGATACCCCAATGGAAGCCCTATAATCTCCTTAGAGCAAGTGCGCCCAGGCATGGCTCACCTGGGAGCAGTACTTCGGTCTTGGTTGGGATCGGGCAGCCAAACAGCCTCTTGCCCCAGTATGGGGATGTGGGGGGGTGTAGGGATCATACTATAGGGTTGCATAGGACTCATATAGGGAATTTGGAGTAGAATAAAGGCTTCCTTATTGGCATTGGCATGTTATTCAACTATTTTCATCGTAGCAGAAACAAACTCTTTCAGACGCTTCAGTGACGTCACACCTTGGAGTTATCGTCGTCGTCCAGAAGCAGCGGCCGCGGAGGAGGCGGCAGCAGCAGCCGTGTAACTATCAGGAGGAGGCGGGAGAAGAGAAGGGGGATGAACCTTGGCTACCTCGCGACGGAATCGCGCTAAGTATTTCACACGTCGCACCCCAACACAGCCCCGGACTACGAACCTTGCCTGACGAATCTCGAGCCCTTCAAACCAAACATCCCATTCATCGCCCAAAAACCGGGGGAACATTCTGGTAGGAGCGAGTACCAGCATGTCAGCTCGATTGCTGATGCATGCTTGCTTTTGCAGAAGTGAGGTTCCTGCTGATCTATGCGGCTTGACAGCAAGCAAGTTTTGGGTTCGAAATAAGCGCGCCAAATATCCCCCAAGTTGCGGTACCCTCGATACAAGGACCGACAAAAGTTGCATCAGCTGTCAATTTGATTTCAGGATGCACACACGTTGCCATCGTAATGTTGGTGTCATTTCCGGGTGCAGCCTCCGCTATGAGCTACAACCCCACCCTTTTGGCCAAAGAATAGGGATTAGGGGTATATGGGGTTATATTAGGGTTATATTAGGGATATATTGGGGTTATATTAGGCTTATAGGAGATTGGGAAGGTTTTCCCTAGCTTATCTTCCAGTTGTCTTACTGGCTCCCTACGACCTCCAACGCTTCTTTGATTGTCAGGTCATCTCTCATGCGGTTCTCTTCCTCGCTACGCGCTACAGTGGCCAGGCGAGACGGACTGAGGACTGATGCCATTCTTCCACCTATACGTCTCCTTGTTCTCGTTGCGCAAAGTCATCGTTTGCATAGTTTCTATGTGCTGGTGTTGAAGGTCACAGGGTCTAGAGTTCAGGTGAAGAGTTGCGTTGCAGGCCTTTTAAAGCCGAGGACCTACGGCCCATGGCTTTGGGTATGGTGCATAGGAATTGTGGGAGCACTGGGGCATTGCAAGCACGGGATTTCACGATTGTAGCCCCTTTGCATTGTGCGACTGTGCAGCCTGCTAGCTTTGTAGCCTCGTTTGGCATCCTTCGATTAGTACGTGCTTTGCCTTCCGGTATGTTCGCCTTCGTGAGCGGGTAAATGTCTGCATGGTTCATGAGGGCTCAGGCACACAAAGTTGCAAAGTCAGGTGATTGTTTCCCTGCCCTAGAGTTCCTTGCTGTCTCAACCCTGATCTTGTCAGACCTCATGTGAAGTAGGCTTTTGAATGGCGCCAGTATTGGTGCACAACAGCTATATAGTAGTTTCCTGAAATAGGGGGACCCCAATATAGACCCCAATATACTATAATCCTTATTATGGGGACCCCCAAAAGGGTAGCCCTAATTTTGGGAAACCTCCATATATACTATACTGAGATTGGCTGAGCATTGACATGGAGTCTAATGGCTGAGTCAGGCCTGCGGCTGGGTTTATGCAAAGTGCGTGGCACATGCCGGTCTACGGTTTGATTTTGCGCAGGTTGGCTGGGATGCTTTCCGAGGGGCCTCCGACTTGATGAAAGTTGAGTTGGTAGCATGAAAGCACGGCTCTAGGGTCCCTATACCAAACTTCCTCTTCCTCAGGGGATAAGAAACTCTTGGAGAACTTGCGCTCTTTCCTGAACCCAGAGCAGACCTATAAAATCGTCGCAGAATCTAACCAGGGCAAAAAGGATTCCCCAATCAAGAGGGCTCACCATTACAAATTCCTTGGAGTTTCAATGAAAGCCTAAGACTCGCTGACACTTGGCGAGGTCTCCACAAGCGTCCCCTGCAAACCGCACAAGCTGCGTTCCAGCTCCATGCCCCTACTACCGATAGACCGAATTCCGTGCCGTTTCTGGGAGCCACCTGACTGTATGTGTAGTATCGTCCAAGTTCAAAGTTATAGGCACCCGAAAATCAGGGTAATTAGGGTACAGGGGTCTAGGTACAGCGCCAGCAAGGCAACCACCCGATTCATGTCTTTGGGGGTTTTGCCTGCGCCAGGTAAAGACATTCTTTTTGGCACCGAGCTCGCTCGTGCTTTGTGCCGCAATATGGCATCGCACAGTCCAGTGAGACCCTAGAATTTCAAGAGGAGGTGGGGAATACGTGGCCTTAAGCGAGTTAGGTTGATTTCCGAACTTGAAGTTCATGTAAGAATTAGATGGTATGCCAGCTTTGCCGTAGGAAATCAAGGAGCGTCATGGGGAGTGGTCGTTTGGGGGCTTGTGGGGGGGGGGTCCATGCTTGTTGGTACCTACATGGTATGTAGGGGTCAGGGGGCGGCTAGACAGGAGATTTGATTGCTGGGGTGTCGTGGGAACTATCGCCTTCAGGCTCAGGAATGAAGATTCCACGGTTGCAGCAATCTCCAACGTATCAGGGATTCTGCGCAGTAGCCCAGTGAAGGAAAATCCAAACAGAAGTTGTACAGTTTCGGATTATAGCGCGAGCTTGTTTGATTCGGCGTGTCTTCCCTGCCCCGTCCAAGGTCCACTGGGTTCTAGCCAGCTTCTTGTTTGCTGTGGACATTCCTTTGCGATTGTCCCAGTTTTGCTGTTTACTGGTTCTTCATCGTTAAGCCCACACATTTTCCAAGCGGTTCAGTGTTAACGCACGCAAGTCTTCTTGCTGGGCGCTTGCTGATTCGCGCAGTGCAGGCTTCCTTGCCCTCTTCCATGTAGTAAAGCAAGGCAAAAGCACAACAACTCAAAGGCACTGCATGCTGTGCAACCCTAAATAAACCTTTGAGCCCGACCCCCAAACAGTCTAAAGACGGAAGGCCACAACAACTTTGAGAATTTTGTTTCATCGATCCAAACCCCGGTGCCACTGAGCCCCTGATTTGCGCAGGTTGTATAGCAGCAGTAGTAGGAGCAATAGGGGGTCAACATTACAAACCGCAAGTCAGTGACCCGCACTCCCAAAGCCATTCAGGCAGAAGCCACGCACATCGCCATTTTTCCCAGGGATGCTCGGCATAACATGCGTCTGCCAGCATCCCGAAGCTCTGAGTTTCTGGGTTGACATTGAGGCGATCACCTGTTAAGGCGTGCAGCAGAACCTTTGGGAAGGCAACTTATGCAATTTCGGGCTGAGGTGGAGCGTAATGACTGGCCTTGCTTCATTTAATCTCTTGACCAGGAGCCCCCGCCTGTCTAAGTTCCGCGTCATGCTGCTGAAGCTGCTTGCAAGCTTCATCAGAGTAACTTGCCCCAAAACCCTATTCCGTGGCTGTGACCTCCGTGGAATGCCGAAAGAATCTTTGCTCAAGCAAGCTTCCTGGCCCCCACAGAGGGGCCCTTGTCTTTGGTGATGCCGCAGTTCTCCGTGGAGCAGGCGCGCCAAGAGTAAATGATAGGGATACTGGGAACTGTTCACACCAGCATGTCCATGGGAAAATACTTCCCCTGATCGTTCCATGGCAGCCCATCACATACTACAGGCTCCAGTGCAGACCCATCTGTAGTGCCTTAGCTACGACTCCATTTTCGTTTGTGCAGGTGCGGGCCATCATGGACAAGACGGAGAGCATCCGTTCCATGAGCGTCATTGCGCATGTGGACCATGGCACTTCGGCTCAAAATTGTCCGAAGGGTTGGGGGATGTGACCATTGAAGAGGACTGCTCTTTTCTTCTTCTATCTCTGTTACCCCTCCTCCTCTTGCTACCGATACTATCCTGATTAGCTCCATGTATTGCGGTGTTATGACCTTGTGATATGTGTGGTGATTGAGTTTTCCTTTGGTCTCATCACTCTTGGTAAGGTAAGCCGACACTCGTACAGCAACTAGCAGTAAATCAGAGGGAAGGTTCAACGCTAACGCGAGAGGATTTGTAGATATTGCAGGGCTCCGTCATGTTCATCTCCATTCCTTTCAGACCGTGTTGAAATTTCTGGCTGCCGTGATGCGTCGTTGTCCTTTCTTGGCGTATGTGCTCCGGGTATGACCGACACTGTTCTTGTTGCAATAACACCACGAGTACCAGCCCCAAGATTACCACCAACTGTTCGCCCCCTGCCCCACATGCTCCCAAGACTTCGCAGATCCTACATGATTTCCCCTCGCTGTGTCCCAGGCAAAACCACCCTGGCAGACTCCCTGCTTTCCCGTGCGGGCATCATCTCCAGCAAGGCGGCCGGAGATGCCCGCTTCATGCAGGGCAGAAAGGACCGGCTTCACGTACAAAGCTTGTTATACCTGCATGAATAGGGGGGCCCCTCGAGGCTATGAGGAGAGCTTGCCAGAAACAAAAAGTGGCTCCCAGGTGACCCTGTTTACAGGGATTTTTGGTTGGGTCCCGTTTGTGGTAAGGTTTTGGCGAGGTGAAGTCTTGCAGTGGCGTAATTCAGGCTAGGAGATTCAACTAAGGCATAAAGGGGGAGGCTCAATCGGGACGTATCTTGTTCAGAACGTCACGATGTCCCAAAGTCCCCAACTAAAAAGTTTCCTTCAGTACAGGATGGCAACGATCCCAACCGCAAGCTGGATGCCAATCTTGCTGTAGGAGCGTACCTTACAAGCTGGAGGCCCTACAGGCCTTGCCCTAACATTGAAAAACAGCCCCCCATCCCGCTATCATCAGAAACAGCAAGACCTACGGTCAACATTAGCCTTTAAAGGAACCCTTTAACAGTGGACATAGGGGTCCCTCTTGTTTAGTATAGTCCCTAATATCGTCGCTAGTAATGAACCATGTTGAATCATATAGCAAACATATTATAATCTACCATAATATACTACAACATGGTTTATATACTGCAATATACTAAGGAAATACTGACTGTAGTTCACAAGAGGACGAGCAGGAGCGTGGCGTGACCATCAAGAGCACAGGCCTGCCTTGGAGTTTTGATTTGCTTACCTTTGGCTGCCAGCCCTAAGGGTCCAACTACCCAATAATAGTTGGGTACTTAGGGTTTAGGGTTTAGGGTCATTTTAGTACAGGCTTGGGGAAGTATATGATTGTTGAGTACTTGGACATTTTGGGCAGGGAATGAACGAATATGTTGTTGCGTCTGTTGTTGTCGGACTCCGTTCCCTGATGCCCTGCTAGCAAGAGTTTTTGGAAAGGTGAACAAGTTGAACAAGGAAGGAGGTACCAGATATTCCGGAAGTGTTCCACGGGTACCTAAGCTCTGACAACTCCAGCCGCACGGATCTCAAGGACAAAAAGACTGGAGCATCACGGTTTGAAGATTCCAGATGCTAAAGCCAAAGGATGGTAGGAATTCGCTTGACAAATCTGCCTTGAGGCAATGTGGTCAGAAGGTAGTTCGAAACCTCATGGTCCAAGCACGTCCACAGAGATCCTACAGCCCCACAGCTCATCCGTGCTACGTCAGAAAATTGGTGCTGCCGCGCCCAGCCGCCACCGAAGAAGCATTGATGAAAGTTTCGATTCAAAGCCTCTTACACATGCACACACAGCTCGGGTATGCCGGCCAATTAAGGAGCAGAGAAATTAAAGGACGTCCCTGCACGATTCTTGTCGTTTTGCCACATCGGTCTCCCACAACAAGGAGATCGACAGTCTAAAATGTCCCTGGCATTTTGCACCTTTAGATAATGCTCATGAACCCCTTAAAGCTCAAGGTTCTTCAGGCCTCGGTCATCGTAAGGCATACACCACAACATATTGGGATCGCAGAGCAACCGCCGGAATTTTGGGACACCGCGCACATCCTTATGTGACATATTCCCTGCATAAATCCCCATGACTCAAAACGCCATCTCCTCAAACAACACATTCCGAAGGTGTCACCTTGTACTTTGAGCATGACCACGAGGATGCCATCGCTTGCAAGATGTTTTTTTGATGCTTCAGGGTTTGTGCTTCGATGTTGTACATAAGTCTGCAGCAGGCTTCCCTTTGGAGGCTGAGGGTGCCTTTGACGAGGATCTTGAGTCCAAGAAGATGTACATGTAGTTTCCGCATGAGTTTCAAAAAGACACCATCAGCAAACAGTCCGCTTTAAGTCCGCTTTGTTAAGGCCCTGTTGCCCTTTGTTGTCTTTGCAGTCCGTGCAAGTTTCAACATGCATGCTTTCCGTATCTCCTTCTTACACTATAGCATGGCCATCCGTTCTTTCCGACTGTGGTGGAGTATCATGCAGTTCGCGCATGCTCCCGCCGCACTGCATTCTGGATTGCAAATCCATTCCCAGGTAGACCCGAGAAGAGCCCGCACTTTCTCAAACACAGCCATGCAAAACATGGACAAGCCCCTCAGTTTTGCATCTAATTTACATTGGCCCATATTGGCCCCAACCAAGACCAACTCAGAATGTTGCTTGTGATGGCTTGAGGCCCTCCACTAGGCTTTCAGGAAGCGAGGGGGAGACACTTGACTCCAAAAGGATGGCGTTGGTCTTGTATTTCGCAGACTACATCCTGAACAACTCTACATCCTCTGTACTCTGTGTAGACCTTGAGCCCTAAACGACAATCTGTGTAGTTTGTGCATAACATGCGGCATCCTTGTCTTGGGATCTTTAGATTTGCCTGGAGGACGGCTCTGGGCCACAGCCGCACCTCATCAACTTGATCGACTCTCCGGGCCATGTGGACTTCTCCTCAGAGGCCTCAAGCGCGTTGCACCATGCAGGGGGTGTGTGCAGATTGATTGATTATAATTATATGTTGTTTGTTTGTTTCTTGGAGGGGGGGGTGTTATTGTGGTGCATGTTAGGCAGGGATCTTATCAGGATAGTTTGCAGACTGAATGGGGTTCAAAATATGAAGCAGGGCATCCCATTTTGTTGGATGTAGCATTCATGAAGTCAGATGAAATCTTTGGTGGATACTTCCATTTCCCTTTAACAGCACAGTAGTCTTGTCCATGCTCCCCCCCTCCCAATTTGTACAATTTGTACGCTTGCTGCCAGTATTTCGTGGCGAGAAGAGATTTATCCTGGACGTAGAATATTTTTTTGGGCCAGGGGCTCTCAATTGCGAGAAGCCCGCCCCCAAAAAAGTTCTTAGCTCTTCGCTCGGCCAATTCGATAATTCCTCGTTAATTTGATAATTCCTCATTCGCAACTTGCTGAATCTTGGAACTCTGGCCAGCGCGTATTCTGGATTAGGAGGGTTGAATGGGTAAAGAATAGTACTCTTCACAGGTTGCGGTGCGAACCCCCGAGTTGCAGGAGGGCTGCGGGGGTAAACGGACTACAACATCTACAGCTTGCAGCTGGTGTCCCTGGCTAGCGGTATCTCGAAAAAGCCTTCTGAAAAGCCTACATAGACGTTGAACTCTACCAGCACTGTGTGCCACGCTACGTAGCCCTTAGCTGGCAGCCACCACACCGCGTGGAGTGGGGGCGGAGGTCGCTGATGATAGGCAATCGCTCATCAGTTTTAGCGTACACTCCTGACACAAACTCTTTGAGACTCAAGGCTTTAGATTCCCGACATTTATCCGCATAGCCAGCACTACGTAACATGTCTCGTTTACGTCAGCGTGGGTAAAAAAATACACACGCGCACTATATACATATATATATATATACACTTCCCTTATGATTAGGTGACCGCGGCCTTGCGCATCACCGACGGGGCTATCGTGGTCGTTGACTGTATTGAAGGCTGTGCGGTTCAGACCGAGACGGTACTGCGACAGGCGAGGCTGCAGGGAGTGGCAGGGATTTTACCGGGTGCTTCGTATTAGGGTTATATTGGGGTTATGATGTACCCCAATAATGGAAAATCAAATGGAAAAGAACATGGAAAATGAAATTGGAAACTAGGGAATATATGGGGATCTATTGGTGCTTTGTGGAGTATAGGCATCATGCTATGGGCACCGGAGTTGTAGGGTTCAGGAGAGTTTCTCAAAATTGGTCAGGCGCGGCTTCGGCGCGCAGATGGATACCAGTTCTGATAGCAGCATCACAGTCGTCGACTGAAATTAAGCGTCTATGGATAGTAGTAGCTTAGCAAAGGTAGGCGCAGATTGTCAGCCGGAACAATCGCAAAGCGTGTTTCATTCCTTCGTTCTGTACAAAACACCACATAGAATCCTCCAAGAAATATTTTTGCTGCATTCCTATACATTGGTTGTTATATTTATTCACCCCATGTTGTAGCGCAGAGTTCTTCCAACCTCGTTATCCAATTGCATCAGGCTCTGCAAGAGAGAGTGAAGCCCTGCCTCTTTGTCAACAAAGTGGGGGACTCAAGCCAGTGTGCCGCATGCTTTGTTATTTCTATCGCAGCCGTACGGGCCGGCCTGGGTTTAAAGTTGCAGTGCATAGCTGCCAAGAATCGAAAATGTAACAAGCATGGTATTGACACGTATCCAATAATGCGCCAAGCTAGGCGTTCCAGGCTTCCCACTGTTGAATCCTTTGGTGGAGTTGGTGGAGTCTCTTTTCATTACAGAGGCCCGGCCTAGCTACTACTCCGGACCAGCTTCAGGTAGTATACTATGCATCAGTATATCCTGTGTTGTGCCTGTTCCCTGGTAGACTCAAGGCTAGAAAGATTTGCGTTTCATTAAGGGTGGATCTCCCACAGCCCTGCGGTAACCTCGGAAGTCAGCTAAAGACGAGGCAAGCGTCAATTTAATTGAAATACTTCTGTATCTCTACCCTCCAACTCGCCTAAAACGATCTCCTTTTTTTCTGGAGGCACTAGCTTCAGGCCTCAGCCTTCCCTAAGCTCCAGGAGGAGCAGCTGACCACACGGCTCTGCTGGCGGTTAAAGCCAGGCAACCACCCAAAGGGCCCAAGAATCACGCACAAACTGGAAAGTGATTAACCTTTTGGATTTCACTATAAACACTATCTCCTGATTCCCCAAAAACTCAACTCCCCCTGCTCAATTCAAAGTCCGCTGGCAGCAATTCCTGAAACACATGTGACACCGGGCTCATCCATCCATTTGGACAGTAGAGAACCGCGAACTATCCATGAGCTTCCATTGACCCAGAGCCTGCATTTTCTCAAAAAGTCTAAATGACCTCAACGAAGAAAGGCCAGAGCAGTTTAGTCAGGGCAGGAGCAGTAGCCAGCTGTCAGGTGGACCGTTGCATCCTAGAGATGCAGATGGACGTGGAGGAGTGGCATCGCAAAAAGCATGGACCTACTGTTCTAGCCAAGACCACATTGTTACACGAATACCAGTAAGAGCTGAACATTGCAATCTCTACAGCTTTGGAGTTCATAACAATCATGCAGCCAATCAACCTGTTGGTGCTGATCCCCGTCATGAGGCTAGGGCGCGCAAGCGTGATCACCAAAACTGTCGCTATGATGTCTGACCTCATGATGGCTGCTACCACTGCAGGAGTACACGTAGTAGAGGCAGCAGCAGAAGTTGTGTCGGTGGTGGTAGTAGTAAAAGGAGGCGGTGAGGAGGAGGCATATGAGGCAACACAAGGGTTGGCCCTTGAATCGGTAATGGAAATTTAGGACGTGCCCGGCGAACAGGGTCACTCAGGTGGACGTGAAGGTCAGAAACTTTGGGGCTCTCGTCCATCAGAGTGCCTTGCAGGACATTAAAAAAAGTCCCTGGACTTGAAACTTGAAACTGCGACCCTTAGGCTCGAGTGATTTGTGTTGCAACGAACCTGCATGGCGCATTTATTGGGATCCCACTTAAGACTTCCAAAGCAGTCTTAGTTGTAGGGAGTATACGGAGCTTTCAGTGGGGTCTCTGCTTGGGGTTGTGGACGGTGCTTCGGAGAAGGAGATGTACTGCCGCTTCCGCAGTGCCATCGAAAACGTCAATGTCATCATCGCAGCCTTGTCGCAATCTTTAAGTCCGAACAACAGGTTAGTTGTACTACGGGCTAGAACTGTCATTCCTTGGAACTTGGGCCGCGTGTTTAAGGCTTAGGGTACCTGTAGAAGGGTTGACCGTCTACCGTACTTGGATATTTTCCCATGTGCGTGCACACACACACACACACGCATATATACATACATACATACATACATACATACATACATACACAAGCCGAAGTGTTGCATGCAGCTTGGTAACTTGCCATATATGACTGGAACCCTAAACCCTAAACCCAGGATGGGTCACCCTAAATCCTAACATAGCTTGTTTAGGGAGCGGCAGGTCGGGACGCCTAGCAAAGTTTGCCTTTGAGGGCATATTTGTTTCCATTCGCTCGAATGGTTATTTTGACCATTTGATACCAACACAGACTACACTAACTACTAAGGCCTCTGTATATGATGGTACCTCCTTTGCTGGATGCTGTGGAATACCTTCCCCAGCCAAACTTTGACCGCCGCTTCCCCTTCAGATCTGCTGAATGGGGGGGGCCGATATAAGGATTTCGACGGTTTTATACACTTACTTTTGGTTTAGACCTGTTTTTTCCTGAATGGTTTAACGGGCTATGGCCCCTTCCTTATGCCCCAAAGTCGACTTATGCTGGTCCCTTGCCAACCTGAGGGACCACCCACATTCCACTAACAGAGCCTTACAAGGCATTCTCCCCAAGTCTGAAGCTGGAGGTGTTATCATACATGCTGTCCACGCTGACTCTGCATTGGAATTCTCGGAGGGCCTGCAAATAGAGAAGTGCGCTGCTTATGCTACAAGGTTTCCGAAGTCTTCTGGGTCTCGTGTATCATAAATTATAGGGTTACATTAGAAGATCTGCTCAATAGTTGGGTTCCCCCACATGCCCCCAAAATGACATACCCCGTTAAACGGAGACATTGCAAAAACAGGGCCAGAATGCTTTGAATCACCCCTTTCACCAATAGAATCCCACGGCTTTAACACCCCACCTTCTAGCATCCAATGTAGAGTTAGAGCATTTAGGGTTTGACGTGCATGAGACGAAACACGGTGGCGTTCAGAAGAGGCATCCAACCCTCAACCCTACCCTAAGAACCTGAACTCAGCGCCACGTCTCCCAGTCTGGGACCCTGAGCCCAAAAGACACAGCACGTAAGCCCAAGGACCACCTGACCTGGAGACTCCCCCTCAACTATGGGTTGCTTAGGCGACCTACAGCGACGCATCCATGGGGAGCTTGCAGATGGACCCAGGTCAAGGGAGACTTCGACATTTCAAGATGGGTGCATTCGTGCTGAGGTTTAGAGTCTGGAGTCTAGATTTTGAGGCACTAGAGGACCCATTGGTACACAAATTTCTGGTCAAGCTCTGTTGTGATAAACGTTTGCTCCATCCAGTTGCTTTGTCTGAAGCGCATACTTGTTGGCAGGGTCTGGCAACTTTCAGAGAGAAAACGAGCGCAGTCTTTGAACCGCCTGAGCCCAGTTCTCTCAGCTCGAGCAAGCTTCCGCAACCGAACGCAATGTAAACGTGTGACTTTTGCATGTTTTCTGCACAGGCGCCTTTCAACCACCCGAGCGGGAATTTTCCCGCAAACCAGTTGGAGTATCAACTGCTCCCGAAATAGATGAGTTTGCTCCGGGGTTTCTGAGAAAGAGAACAGCAGAGCTGAAAAGTCATCCTAACTGTCCCGGAAGTAAATGTCTGTCGGGGCAATTACGAAATTCACACATATGAACAGATACACATGTATATACATGGATCGGTGAGCAACCGCCTTCACGTCCGCCCCCGAATACTTCCTCCTGCACACCTGTTTGTTCCTCTTATTTCCGGGAGGACCTGACTCAGGAAGTTTCCTGCCGTTTCCTCGCTCAGGCCTTTCTTCTACTGCGCTTTTCACATGCTATTCTCGCCTGGAAATGAAGGAGAATAGCCAGTTCAAGGGGAAGTTTCATGGTCACTCAAGCGGCTTTCCCATGGAATCTTCGTGATAGCTATAGTAACAATATTGATGGCATGAGTCACCATCATGGGCCTATCATATGGAAAGAATGTAGGGTAGGTTGTGGCCTAACGGGATGCAGCTGCTTGTGTTTGGGGTTCATCGCGGAGTCTCCAGACTTGATAAATTGGCTCCAATCTCCAGACCTGAAGGTACCATCGCATGTAATGTATCCACCATGCCAAAATGGTCGGAGGAAGGCTCTTTCTGGAATAGCGGTCGCCTGTGTACCCCAAGCTACCAGGACACTTGTGGGTACACATGACAAGACCGAAACCGAAAAGAAAGATTAATCAAACTTGAACAGAAAGATTCGATGGTATGCGCATGCGCCGCGCAGTCTGCCTCGGTGAAAGCTAGGATGCAGGAAGCGTTGCATCATGATTAGGAGGTAATGGTCGTTGCATAGGTGATTGTAGCAGTCAAGCTCACGACCGTTTTCAGCATGTTGCGGTGATGAGCATGCTCCTTCAACGCAGATGCAAGCAGCCTCATCGAATATTGTGTGCATTAAACATGCAGCCTTGCTGACGCTTTGATCACGATTTCTGTCTCTAAGCTTTGTTGTGGGGTCGCAAGCTTTTTGTGAGGTCACCTTGGGGCACGCAAGAAATAAGTGTCCTTTGTGTAGAACATCCCTAGAAAATTTAGAGGTCTACATTGGGGCCCCTATGCATAGAAGCCTCCAAGTCGTGTCGCGAGTGCAAGGGGTTGAGGAGTTTCCCTAGGAGGCACGCAGCAGGGACAACAAAGGTTTCAGAAGAAAACCTTATTCTGAAATATGGATGAGCCTTGCAAACATGAACCGCAAAAGGTTTATGGTCACTCTGGCTTAGTAGAACTGCTTTTGATCCGAATTTCGGGTTCATCAGGTCCCTTAAGGGTCCCAGTGTAGTTGTAGCATATAAATTTGGTGGATTTGCATGAACCTTGACGAAGAGGGCCTTGGTTGTGTCCACTATGGGGTTCCATTTGTTTGTCCGTTGACAACTAAGTTGAGAAGTGTACAGGATGGAAGTCGCGGTGTGTTTCTTCAACCGTGACTACGGCAAATTTGAAACGGTGCTTGCGTGCACTCCGCGTTACTTGAAAGTCGCATGTCATGTGAACACGGACCGCGACCCTGAAAACGTTTGGTGGGTTGCCTACTAATGGCCGTGCTGGTAAGGTTTCTCAGAAGTGTTCGGCAAATATCCTCAGATTTCTTCGATGTACATTGACATTTCTTCGAGGCTCCTCAGAGAATGGAGCAAAACATACAGGCAGCGTCAGAAGTAAATAGATGAGCATTCAGCTTCATGAGCTGAGAAACTAAACGCAGGCCGCAACTCGTGCTGATCGGGAGTGAGGGTGAAGAGCCCTAGAAAGTTGCCCCCCGATCCCTTAGGAAACCAAACCTGTATGTCCATGTACCCCCCCTGAAAGCCCCGCTTTCACGCATCCACCCCCGCCTATATTAAACACCAAGCAATGAAAGCTAAAGCCACATCCCTCAAGTGACTTCATAAGGTCAAGGACCCTGGACAGAACTCCACATTAAAAAGCTGCCAGGAAGAGCAACGCCAAATAAAGATGTCGTTGCAATGGGGCCGAGTGCTGTAGCGATGTAAGGGGTGCCTCAATTTCGTCGAAATACTACAGGCCCGAAACCTGGAAGCTTCTTTTCTTGACTGCGGGACTGTGCCGCTGAACCCCAACTTTAAGGAAACCTTCAGACCTTTAGCTCAGAAACACGAAAACCCAAGACCTTGAAACAGCAAACCTCAGCGGAAGCTGATTTACCTCAAGCTACACGTTAGACGGCCTAAAAGTTCCTAAAGTTTACTCACTGACGTGAAGGAACCACCCCCGGAAAAACCCGAGGAATGTGGCTTTCGGCAGTGGCCTCCACGGCTGGGGCTTCCTGGAAAGAAAGAGCCCTCCCCCGATTTACAAGGTTGTGGGCTTAGAGAGTATACTTCCCTAAAGCAGCATGCAACCGCAAAGGGGCTATCATGACCAGTCTGCTTTCAAAAGTGGGATCCTGGGGTTTTCATGTTATTCAGAAGAAGTCAGCTGGCTATGATGAAAGTGATACTGCAAGAGTGTTCGCGTAGCCTCAGGCCTGCAGGGCCTAGCTGTGGTGTAGTTTCATCGCGTAGGCACGTATTGGTAATCTCGTCCGTGTTTTTTGCGAGCCAAAGGAGAAGTTTGTGTTGCACAGAATTGTCCATAGCGCGGAGTGCCGCGTAGTCCGCGTAGGCAGCACACTAGCAAGAGTGTATTCCTGTAGTCTGTTCTGCGGGGCCAGCAGCAGTACGCAAACTATAGGCATCTGAATTTAAAAAGAATGCTCGATTGCAGCAGGCCTTGCTATTAGCCATGTACGCCTTTCTCTACACGCCTGGAAATTACAAGATTTGCTTCAGGCTTCAGCACTGAACGCTTCGCCAAAATCTACGCTCAGAAGATGGGAGTAGATCCTTGGCTTTGTAGGAGTTCTGGATAGAATGTCTTTATAGGATGTATGAGGCGATCGCAGTAGCAATGATCAGGCTTCCGACATAGATTTGCATGGAAGGGGCAGAAGTTCTGCATATAGGGCTTGGGAAGTTCTCTGTTTGGCAGTACCTTTTGAGATTTGTTGCATCTGACATTCGTAAGGCAAGAGTGGGGATCTCAGAGCTTGAAATGCGTGATTCTGAAGGTTGCAAGGTTCACCAGCCTCCATTGCAATCATGCACAAGAATCCCTGAGCTCCTCTGTGGATACCTGTGCGTTGCCGGGTTTCGCGGCTTTTGGCCGTTCTGATCGGAGGCCAGGGTTCCTCATGCTTTTTCGGAGGCGTTACACGCATATACTAGGGAATGCTTGGGAGGAGCCTCTGCCACAGATGCATCACAAGACCTTGAAGTAATCTTGGACTGCTTGAGTCCCAGCTCGAAAGACCACACTCGTCAACCATCATGGTATGTATCACGCAAGGCCCTCAAATGGTGAATTTCGCCTACAAGATTCAGCAGCATGACCTCCAAACGATGCCTCCGCACACTAGTCGTTTCAACGTTTCAGACTCTATCCACTGCATGTTACCCTGTGCGCCGGGGCATCGCAACTGTCGTTGCGTCATATTTCCAGTATTTAAGGCTGATCAGTGCTGATCAGTGCTCTATTGTCATTAGTTCTAGTGTCAAGCTCCGCGAAGCGGTGCTGCCATATCCTATCCTTGTTACCCTTGCTGCAATACAGTATAAAACTGTAGTGCCAAGCTCTACTGCGTTTGCCAAGGACAGGGTCAAGATGATGCAGAGGCTTTGGGGAGATTGGTTCTACTATCCCAAGAGGAAGGCACCTGGGCTTTGCTTTACTCCGATTGATCACTAGCATATTCCTGTTCGTTTCAGCAACGCTGTTTCAATAATGTCCACTGCAGTAGCAGCTATCGTATAGGAGAAGTGGTAGTAGCAGCAGTAATTGAACCTCCCCACTCAATTACCACAAGAAGAGGCAGCAAGGGGGGTGCTGGTGGTCCTCGCCATGGCTCCAGTACTGTGGTTCAGAGTTTTAGGGTGTTATGTTGTGGTGCTTTTGTAGCGTTGCTGTCGCCCCTGTTGTATGAGTCCAGTAGAGGGACAGAAGTGGCAAGGGTAGCATTGTGCAGCTGAAGCTTTTCAGTACTTCAGGGTTTGAGGAGCTGGTGCTTTACCACGCAACTTGACACCCAGCCTGCACGGGAAACCTTCTGAATCTCTAAGGCCCTCCCTGGATGAAATCTCCCCTCAAACCTACAGCCATACACGAAACACTGGATAGAATCGCTGCAAGAGAGATGCGCTCCTGGTTTAAATGGCACCCTTAACGCGTTCGGACATAAATGCTGAAATCTCCTTGGGCCATGACAGAATGTTTGATGCTTCCCAGACGTGCTCCTCATAAGATCCTGCCATTTTACGAGGTCTGGACGACCTCCCAGCCAGAAGATTGTAAAGAACCGCTCCAGAGAGCTTTCTGCCAGTACCTTTGCTGACTCTTCTTTTTACCCGGTTCTGAGTTAGGGGCTGGGCTTGGCATGGGGTATAGGTATTAAGGGTCTGGGTTTGTTCCATGCATTAGTACGGATGTTACGCATATTTTGAACGAGCATATGATTCCAGGTGCGTAAGACAAGGGGAGCAGGGCAGTCACGACACGTCGATCAATAGTGTACCTATCTGGGGAAACAGGCTCCAAAATCAGCGGCAGAATTCCAGTTTTCATTTCATGTTGCATGTCATTTTCCATGCAATTCTTCGTTATTGGGTTAACAATCCCAAGATATCCATATGTGGCCTGATATGTCTTCGAATACCATGTTCTGGAACGGCTTCATGTATGGCTCGAAGGGACGAGCCATCAGTAGGTGCATGTGTAGCTTATAGACCTCGATTGCCAAATTGAGAGGTGTGTGTGTGTGTGTACACATACAGGCTTACTACCCCTACAACGCCAGAATCACATGCAAAAGAAGCTTGACAACCAAATGGAAACCAATCCAGTTGGGCTCATTGAACTTGATGCTATCTTCGCCATGTGCTTACTCAAAGACAGTCTATCATGTTTATGGAATTGCATGAGCCCTCAGTATAAAGTTTTGGGGGTCATGGGATCTGTAGCCTGCTCTAGGGTGCCGGATGTAGCGCTGCTGGCCACGACAAGCTTGCACAAAATTGAACTTCATCGGCTAACGTTAGGGTTTCGAGGTGCTTTGAGCAGTTGCTTTCTGCTGCCCGCAAGACAAGTGTTATGGGGGGAAGTATGGGAACAACCCTCCCACCCTTAACCATGTAGGTACATCATGGGTCCCATCAACCAGTTGATCCGCGCCATCATGGACCAGGACTGCCTGTGACGAATACGCAGCTGCGCTTGCAGCGTTTCCTTTATTCCTTTATGAAAGTTTGGTCTGCCCCTAAACAGTTTCCCTTACTTCAGCCACTAGCTGATTGGCCCCGTCTTCTGTCAATTTAGTGACTAGCTGCCTGCCCGATCCTCCAGTCAGAAAAGATTGCCGGTTATGTGCTTTGTTTCTTGGAGCGTGCATCAACGGCATCCTAGCAGATGGGGATGAAGACGACTGAGGGGGAATTTTAATCTGGAAGTAAAACCATCGGGCCATAGAGCCTGTTAGCTTGTTGCTCGCATGTGGGTCCATTTAAATTTCTGGGCATGGCCAGAAATTACTATCACCTCATTCTATCGGATTTGTGCTAGAATTGGTTGGTCTCATACGTCAGGAAGTAGCTGGCTACACTGAACACCTAAATTGCAACATGTGCGTAAATATTGCGGTGGCCTTTAGCCCATCGAATCCGAAAGCCCCCTATCCACGTCGCCATAGTCTTACCCAGGTTTTTGTAGTGGTCCGGTGCCGGTACTTGGAGCACATGGCCACATCCTATGCCAGGACACTGACAAGTACGAGAAGATGATGGAGTCTCAGGGCATCGTGCTCAAAGGTGGAAGATTTGTCTAGTGTAGGGCCTGAACGGGAATTGATCGAGATGGCAGCTTGAGTATGGGTACTTCTAGCTACTCTCCAACAGCATCTTCTGCCCTTTAATTACTAGCGGAAGACCAGAATGTACCACCGATGACCCCAGGCACCCGAGTAAGGCTCTTGAAGATCTCCTGACCCTGCAAATGGGCAGGAGCCGACATGATAGTCTCATTGCAGGTGTCCTAGTAGTGAGGGTGTTGTGCTGTTTGCGCAGTAGCGGTGCAACGGCCTTAGTGCACTCTGTAAACTAGACTTCGTTTGGTATAAGTCGTACCCCTACTGTTTATTCCCTTGCGTTGTCTGAGATCTCAAAAGCCATCCCCAATTCAGACTGGACGTCAAATACGCAAATTATGGGTGTAGCAGGAGAAGAGCGAGAGCTCAAAGGAAAGCCGCTGATGAAGCACGTGATGCAGACATGGACCCCCTGCTTCAATTTAGGGGTTGTTTAGCACTGAGCGACATTCCAGGGGAGCATGTAGAGTTTTGAAGAAGAACTGGAGAGGGCGTAGAACGCGTCTAGTTGTTAGACGTCGGTTCCAGCTATCAAAGTTGGGCATACTCCCTTCTTCCTAACATCTTCAACCTCCAGAATCCCGTGAGTAGAAATTAGTGTGGTTTCTCTGGGCTCAGGTGCTATACAGTTTGCGATTTCAAAAACTTAGGGCGGAGTAGGTGAGAATAGGTTGGCAGCGTGTTTCTGAGGAAAACTTGGAGGAGAGGCTTGTGAGAAGTCCTTAAGAACATATCCAGCCTCGACTCCGACCACACCTCAAAAAATTGCCGGGGTCGTTGACCTTTGCTGCATCAGAAAAGTAAGTTGCTCACCCGTGCGCAACCTTCAGCCAAAGACCTTGGACGACGACCCTACAAGACCTGCCTGCAGCTTTGCAAGCTCTTGCAAATACCTAAACAAGTCTTTCCCTCTGCAAAGCTGTAAATGCTCTACACAGCCCAAAAGCTTTCACAAGTGGATGCTGACACGATGGGCCAGATCAGCGATAACGGGCATGAGGAGCTCTCACGTTCTTGTAATACATGTGATCGTAAGAAAGTTACGCAAATATGTGAAAATGAGAGCAGGTCAATGAAACTGGTAGCCATAAATACAGTACATCACCTGGTCTGTCTTCACGTAGGCATCAGCCGGGCAATCGTTCTCAGACATTGCGGAGCTCAGAATGTATGATCCCTTACCATGCTGAATCACTTCTTGAGTGGATCTTGCATTGAAAGTAAAGCGGCTTTGGAGATGCCACGTAGGTTAATCCCTAGCACGGATTAGCGTCAGATATTTGTGTCTGGCTTGGACTGCTCAGGGGCAGCCTTGGAAATTTTGTAACATCTACACCCAAAAGCCCTTGAAAAGCACAAGGATCAACGCGGCAGACTCACTCCTGAACATGATCGTCACGCAGCTGCCCTCTCCAAAGGTGGCCTACAGCTTCTGCGTAGTCTAGCATCTGGGTTTAGGGCTCCAGGTTAAGGATTAGGGGTAGCAGGCTGAGTTTCCAAAAAAAGCGGATCCTTTGAATCCACACTCTGAGGGCATGCTTTTTGGCAGCCATGTTATCAGTTATTCCATACCCGGTTTTGCAAGCCACCTACTACTAGGTGTAAGCCCGGCATTCCAGCTTCAAAGGCTGCCCGAGGCAACAGTTGAAAGGGTTCAGGGACGTACTGCTTCTTATGAAGACTGCATCTATCCATGCAGTTCCATGTGCCTTGATGTTTTCCCCTCAGGTGGCACAGCGCTACCGAGTGGAGAACCTCTATGAAGGCCCCATGGACGACGCGGCTGCCACTGGCATTCGAACCTGCGACCCATCGGGACCACTGATGTTGTGCCTGGACCTGCTCTGGAGGTTCGGGTTCAGCTTTGCGAGGTGTGGTTCTGGGCTTGTCGGGAATAATTGGAGAGCAAGAGGGAATTAGTTATGCTTACGGATTTGAGGCTATCGTTGAAACCTCCCGTAGTAAGATGTCAAGAAAAGGTCTTCTAACTTGAATTCATGTGGGATGTTCTTTCCGTGTGGTGGCAAGTGACACTTGCAGAGACATGAAGCCTTGCTGCACAGAATCCAAGCTTGATAAACGACACCACAAAAGCAATCGCAGCTCGTTTCTGTTGTGTTCGATGGCTCAGTAGCGGTCCTGGTGTCAGGGAAGCCTGTGTTCGAGGAGCCTTTTGCGGTTCTGTCGCGCACGCTTACTTTCAGAGAAGCACTGGAGGCTTCAAGTACATAGAATCATGGTAGTTGCATGACTGGAACTTTGAAGAAATGTTGCTATGGCTTCTATTCTCTTCATTTATCTTCTAAGACAGCTGTATGGTCACTTCGTAAAACAGCATAAAGCAACATCAGCAAACATAATTGGCTAACGACGTTTCTTGATCGCAGTCTTACATTTTCCCGATCCCATCTGCACCCCCTCGATCTTGGCAAACACAGGGGCGCTATAAGCAGTGGTGCACAACAAGCAGCACCCTCATGATGGCATGCTTGAGCGAAAGATCATCCGACGTCATCGTCGTTTCTTGACGAGTCGCGATCGTGAGCTTCAGCTGATGGTTACAGGCAACTAATGCAAACAACTACGGCTGGACGCGCTGAAACACAGATTTCCTGCCTGAGAACGTATATGGAACAGCAAAGATATGCAAAGCAATCTGGGCAGACAAGCTGCTACACCGAACGCCAAACACCAAATCCACCAGAACAGTACAGCACCCTACATGATCGTTGACGAACATGGCTTTTGCTGTGTGTTTCTCTGTCAGAACTGTAAATGAGCATTGAGGTTCCAAACCCCATCATAATTTCCACCAAGAAGGGATTGTAAGGGCACTGGCCCGACAAAATGCATGACCACCTGACTAAAAGTTGCATGCTGCTGTCATGCTGAATGCCCGCATTGGAACTCAACAAGGACTTTGGAAACAGAGTCTGCGCGCTGTGTTTGGATCTCTCTCTACGTAGGCAACTCCGCATCAGATCACAGTACTGAAAACCGCAATGCTGTGTACAATTTGGTTATATAGACTCCTGAGCCCTGAATATCTGGGCCATCATCCTGAACTATCCGCAAACCTTATACAGCGGCTCCCCTGAACGACGGGATGATGGGCCTTTGAAAACAGTCCACTTACACTTGTGAAGTGTTGCAGGCCCTGGCCCCTCAAATCGAAGCCTGCCCAATTTGAGAGACGTTATGGCTAGTAAGGAACTAGACCATTACAGTCTTCAGCAGGTTCTGATAAACTTTCATGTGATATCTGATGTGTTCCTCTTTCCCGATGAATAACTCAGATGTGACAACCAATTCATGTAGCTCGCAGTCAGGTATGTGTCCAAGATGGTACCCGCTGCTGATAAGAGCCGCTTTTATGCGTTCGGCCGTGTCTTCTCCGGGACTGTGGCCTCGGGACAGAAGGCAGGGCAAAACTGGATTGCTGTCAAAAAAGGCTTTGATCCGTAGACCTTAACCTCACGACGAACGAGACACCCTGGGCCTTATGACCCTAAGCCCAACACCCCGATAAATTACAAATCCTGAGCTCCAAACCCCATTTTTCAGAGGTTCCGCTCATGACGCTGCGTCCCGAAATCCAATCCCTATGACTCCCCCATCATTAACGAAAGATAGTTATTATATGTGTTTTCAGGTTCATGACCCTATAGTGGACCTGCGGACTGCGAGTGATAGGGCTCTAAAGTTCAGAGCCCCGGCAACGGGGCCGGTTTAATGGGCCCTTAAGCACAAAAGCGAGCAATCGCGCACGAATGAGAACAATTGTGCCCAACTGCGCATTTTTCTAACTACGAGCCTACTGCGTGCGCGTTTGTTGGAGACTGGGCTGGCCCATGGTCTGCAGCCCGACTTTCGGCTCATGATGTCTTTCAAGGCTTGCAGATTGACTTGTCCAACAACCATCCACGTCCATGTGAATGCAGTATTGTGGCGCGCCGCAGGCACGCAATCCGGGCAAACGTGCACAATTGTGCTCAAGTGTGCCCTGCTGTGGGCAGAAACGCTTTCGTTTTGCGCGACGTTTTTGATGCAAAGTTCGCGCGATGTGCTCGCACACGTGAAGCTGACCAGGCGCAGGCAGCGCGTCTGACATTTTCCTGCTATCCGTTTCCAAGCTGGAACTTCAAACTGGGGACTTTGTTGCCTCCTGCGCCTGCACATGCAGCACGAGGTCCCGAGCCCCTGTGCCGGGCCCGCGCTGGCAGTGAAGATATGTGATTTAAGGGCCCAGTAATCCAGCCCCATTAATGGGTCTCCAAAAAGTCTTGGACATGAAAGTGTATCATATAATGTGAGCTTCGCGGGATGCTTCCATATCCTTGTAGGGGCTGTATGTAGGGACTACTTGGATACATGTTGTGATGAGATGACTTGTGGCTTTGTTGGACATGCATCAGAAGGGGATGAGGCTCGAACTTGTGCCCTCTGACGTCTTCATAACCAAGGCCAAAGCCTGACACCCCCTCGGTAAGTCGAAGGTGCGAATCCAGGGTGCCCACTACAAGCCTGGATCCAAGGACGACCTGCATGTTCCTTGGAGTCAAAATTGTTTGCCTTTTGCGTGCAGGCTTTTGATGGTAGAGGCTTTCCTCCGCAGACAGTTCTTATATAAGCTTTTCAGGGTGAGCTCCTGAATCGAACTAAGAATTAACTGAAAGGCTACCCCGCCCGGATCATTTGCAAATCAGACAAAACCTGTTTAGAATTACAACCATGTCAAAAGTCCGTTCTATGGTTAGTGCGGTTCTATCAGTTTAGGGTTTTTCTATAAATGAAGAGAGACCCTCTCACGCAAGCTCTGCAAGGGGACGCTCAGGAACAATGTTCGAGTCTTGAATCCCTAGTAATTTTGAGTACGCAGGTCAGCCTTCAAAAGCAGCTTCGCTTTTCTCATTTGCAGAGCAGCCAAGTGAGCGCGTCTCCCTAAACCTCAAGCTTGTCAAGGTTGAGCTCCTGAATGGAATTAGGATTTAGATTAAAAGTTGCTCCAAACATTTGTAAACCCAAACCTATCTGAAATCATGTAAGAGCCTATTGAAAGTTCCTCTGTTGCTGTCTGGGGTTGGGAAGGAATTGGGCCCTCTCCGCGCCCAAAACTGCCTCCGCCTTTGCACGTATCTTGGGCCCCGAATTTGGCCCGAAAAGCAATTCTTTGAATCTAGGGAGCTTTATTGATCAAGAGCACGGATTGCAGCTCGTAAGATGTAACCACAGTCAGCAGCAGCCGCCACAGAAGCTCCTCCTCCTCCTCCGCTGCCTCCCCCCTGTGGCTGCTCCTCCCCTCCTTGCCGGAGCCACCGCCCGCCATCTTTTTATGATGAGGAGGAGGATGAATGGCGTTCTAAACTCAACGCCCAGGCAAGCTTCAATTTAAAGCGCCTATCAGTTAAGCCCTCAGGTCAAGAACATCCAGCGCACTGTGCTGATGATGGGCCGAACCATCGAAAAGATCCAAGATGCTCCTGGGCCTCCATCAATCTTCATCACGGCTCTGATCGTGGAATTGGGAGGGAGCTGAACATGTGTTGCTGGTGGTGTGGCCCTATAACAGCTTGAACTAGGTTCCTTGCGGCAACACAGTGGCGCTGGTTGGCGTGGACCAGTACATCGTAAAGTCCGGCACGATCACAACTTTGGAGGCTAATGCAGAAAATGTGTGGACTGAAAGTAGAATTTGAGCTTGGAACGACTGAAGCGGGCTGACATTCACTGGTGTAGTGCCTAGAGTAGCTGCATGAGCTACGGTCCTTACTGTTGGACATATGTCAAGTTATGTTAAGAGGGGGTTCGTAGTCCAGCAAGGCTTATACAACATAGGATGGGCAAAATGTCAATGTCGCTAAATCTTGTACCCTGAACTCTTCTGACCCACGTGAGTTGTAGGTGTGATCGATGGTAGCATTGAGGGAGGCTTTGCAGATTTTAATTGCGCGCGCACACTCAACATAGCAAGCAATCAAATATTGTGCAATCGATGGTTTTGTCCCTTGGCCTTGGTAATTGGCTCCATTGCCGCCGGTTTCAAGGACACTGTCAGGGCCCCAGATAGGAGCATTGCCTAAGAACACCGGGCATCAAAGTAAACATGTTATGTTTGCACATGAGTTTGTTCATCAGACCTGTGGTGTGCATCATCTCGACAACTCTGCATAGGATTGCAAAAGCCCAACACCAAGAGGAATTGCCCATTCTGTCAACAAGAGTGAACCCATTCCCCACAAATTCCACGCCAGCAGCAATCCCAAGTAAATGTCCGGATGCAATGATGCATGGTCTTTAATTAGCCCCTAACATAAAACCCCCAAGCACATAAGCCTAGACCCTTAATTGAGACCCTCATGCTTTAAATTTGAACTAGGGCTTCAAAGCTTCAGAGACCTTCAACGCTGAAATCTTTGGACTAAAAACTGTGAACCCCGAGAGAAGGGCGAAGAATGCGCACTTTGCACAGCGGTCACGGAAGCCACACGGGCAAGGTTGTATGAGCTTTCGGTTTCCTGGGAGGACGCTCACAACTTTGCAGACATGAAATACAGCGTGTCTCCGGTGGTGAAGGCGGGCTCCGGCTCACGGTTTCACCATGAAATCTGAAATCCTAAGACCCTGCACCCCCCGTCCTTTCTTGGCCCTGACAGTAGCCATACCGTCATGCAGTCTACTCTGGCGAACCAGCCATGCTGGTCCTACAGCTTCGTGGGGTGTTTGGGTGTTGGGCGGATGTAGGATGCCTTCATAGAACGGCTTTGTAACTGTGGGGCCTTTCATTCTTCGGTATCTCCACATTACCGTTCAGAGGTTGGGCGACGTGGTGTCTTGAAAGGCACTTGCTGTAAGTGTTACCTGGAACTCCAGCGTTCCACGCCATGAAGGTGCACAGTGAAAGGTAATTTTGACTTTCATCGCTTTTACACAGTTGCTCAAATCATGGTAAGCCACGTGTCATAAGCCGTGAAGATGATCACTGTGTCAGAGTTGCGCCTCAAAATGTTTGGCCCTTGTGGTGGTCCTGAGATCTTTCATTTTGAGAGCGACATTGACTGTACTGCTACATACCAGCCGGGTGCGTTGGATCCTGGTTAGGACAAGCTCTCAGCTGTAATCTTTCCCTGCCACCCTATGTAATGCTGGGCTCCGAGCGGTCCAGCATAAGAGGCAAAGGATCCATGCAAGAATGTAGGGCCCAAAAGATTTCCCTTTTGCGTACTTTGGGGCCCAGGTATACACTGTATAGCTTCATGGACCTTTTGGGAGAGGCATTGCAGCGGCGCGGTTGCTGCCACGATCTCCAACCCATAGTTTAGCCAAAAGAAATCTGTTATAAACTGGGTTGGCCGACGCGTTCCCCAAGCTTAGGTCTATCTCAGAACAAAACTAAGGTTAGACAAGGTCGAAAGCCCGAACCTAGTAAACTTTGACCGCGACTTCATGCAACAATGCAAAGTGGCGCACAAAGGCACAGCGAAAGATGCTTAGTGCTGTCCTTTTTTGGCAACAAGTGGTCACGAGCATGAAGTGTGTGGCAGAGTTGGTTGCTCCTTTGTTCTGCAGGTCTACGTTTGCCCTCCACACCTAGACAACATGGCCTATGCGGAGTCACGAAGATTTTGTATATTTTTGTATGAAGTACGAGTAGTCGCTGGGGAGCATGGAGGCACCAACATGCATGGACAAGAGGAGCGTTTACTTCTCAGTCAGGCGTCAATTCGCCCAGGCTAGGATTTCAATCTAAACTAGCCAAAACAAGCCCCCTACGAATCTACAATCCAACTTTGCAGGAAGCAAGGCAACAAAATTCTGCACTTTTCGCCGGTAGCCTTCATTGAAGTCAGGTTGCGGCCCAATTATGTCTCTTACGATACACCAGGCTTGCCGGGTACAGATAGCTTGGGGCTGGCACTAGGTTTCGTCTGCGCAAGATGACGTAAGCTGGGAGAGGCCACGGAGCAAGTGCCTCTTGAAGCACAATTGGGTAACACCTTCAGAACAAGCCAATGACGACATAAGGCTCCAGTGCCGTTGCCTTACTGCCGGCCTAGACTTCCCTCATTAGACATGCAAAGGTGCTCAAGCAGAAGCTTCCAGCATGCAGCCCCTCCCCAATTGCCGGCAGATTGGCGTAAGCATTGCGGCTCGAAGCCGCTGGGGCGTAATGAGGGCCTGCGAAGAGCTTTAATATTTTGCAGTTGCGACAATCAAACAATAAAGCACGACTCAATGCTTGCAACTTTGCAAAAATGTTTGTTGCTTGTGCCGTGGTAGGACATTTCTCATGAACCTAGCTAAACTGTCAAACGGTTGCGCAGATTCAGCCATCATCAAGGTGCCACGTCAGTTAAAGTAAGGACGTAGTATCACCAGCAGTTTAAAAAACAGCTTTTACGCCTCAATGTGCAAAATGACGCTTACCACATCTGGCGTGCTCGCTTTAAGTTGCACCTTCACCCGTATAACTTTCATTTCCGGATTCCACATTTCCTAACATGGCCAGTCCAGGCAGTGTTGAGTCTGAGCTCGCAACTCTTGGAAGCTGGTGGCGTTTGAATGCGAAGTCGGGAAGTCGGATGACAGTATATTTCTTCTTAATGTTGCATTTGCGTCGCTCAACTCGGCTTGAAGAAATTGGCGAACTGGAGACCGCCGTCTGAAGCACCACTCCCCAAGGGCCCCACTCGAAACCAAACGGCAGGTCCTTATAGTTTGAAGGATGTGCACCAAGTCCAGCATGCTGATTGAAGGAAGTTGGTGTTATCATGGCCGCTCGCCCCCAACCCATGGTAAAGTTACCAGAGGAAGCCTTGACATCGAAACTCCCGCAGTGGAACAAGCAAACTGAGACTGCAAACCCCAGACTCTTGGATTTGCATTCTCTCAGACGTTGAACCCTGACGCGTACGCATTCAAAATATTGAAAGTCAAAGCTCACAAGCCTTCACGCTCGTGCCTAGACCATCCTCCCTCTTGAAAGTTAAGACCGAAAGCTCTATGTAAGCACGAAAGGAATGAAGGAATATTGTCTTGGCAACAAAATACAGCATAGCAGAACCAAACGGGCTTTGTGCGTGGCTTCCACTGCACCAATCACCGACTCTAATCTCTAAGCTCCAACACCCTTTAATCCGAAGATTTGATACAAAAGCTTAAACCTGTATGCAATTTGCTCCCCCAATACTCAACGACGTCTTCCCCCTCCCAGGTAATTTTAAGTAATCCGGGCCCTGCAAAAAGATTGAATCATTGCGGGAAACATGTATTCAAAGAATTTCATAGGGCTGCCTTAACGACTTTTCAGAAGGCAATCTAATGAAAAGCAAAAAGTCTAAAGAAAATCGCATCAAAATCTGATGGGGACTTGGTTAACAAAGGGAAACCCACGTATCACGAGTGTAATTGACATTCAATCAAGACCCAATTCACGTTCAGTTATAATTGAAATCGACCCCCCCCACCAAGTAATGGAGACTCAGGGGTAATGGTGATTGAATGGGGGTTCGTGTATATTCTTGTTCTTATTGTATCCGTGTTACAGGGTGGGGAGTCCCCCTGAATACTTAAAATCATTCTTTACCGAATTACAATACATCTAAACTGTCATTAAATCAAGTGAAGTATAGCAGAGATTAACGTCTATTGAAAACTGACTAGAATTGAAACTAGAACCCCATTGAAATCGAATGCAAGCGTAATGAAGTTCCACTGTAAAACTTATCAAAGCCATTTAAGGACAATCTAACTTAAACCGGCTGTGGTCTACTTAAAACAAAAAATCGAATTCAAAACGATTAAAATCATTTGAACAAAAGAACTCCTGCTTAAAAGATAGACAAATGCTTATTCTAATCCCCCAGATGACCTCAGAACGCCCTAGTTCATTAGTAGGTGGCCCTTCTTAAGAGTAGTTTTCCGCTTTTCAAGATGCTGTCCAGGATTTTTAGGCCTCTGGACTACTATTTAATATTAGAGGGGTTTTGGATGTTAGGGGGAAGGGATTACTCCCAGACAGGCTTATTCCCAAAAGACCCCACAGAGGCTTCATAGCAGTGATTCAGGTGGCGGTAAAGGCCAAGGATGCCAAAGATTTGCCAAAGCTCGTCGACGGGTTGAAAAAGCCCTTTGGCCAACATGGTTTCGGAGTTCGGCTTGAAAGCTTTGAGTTATCATTTGGGTTGGTTTGAAGGCTTGTAGTTGCTGCGCGTGTCCAAATGTAGGTTTTGTTGTGAATCATGTACGTCACACCCCCAATCACAACTTGGTCTATAGAGTTTAGATTTGGGGTTAAGGGGCATGTTTTTCCGAGAGTGAAGGTCTCTTGTACACCTCACATGACATACTTCCCAAGGCAATGGGAAACAAACCTGACCAGAGATCCTGATTCCTGAGCACTCTGAGGCAGAAGGTGCTGGAAGACAAGCAGGGTGAGATAGCACAAAACTCGTTTTCACACATAGGTGGACATTTGTAGGGCTTGTTGCACTCAAGCTATTTTTCCCCCACGCCTGGGCGACAGCATTGCATGAAGACAGCTCTAGGCCTTCCAGTTGATTGCTTCTTGGTGTTCAGGGCTTTGAGTTTAGGGACATTACCCCCCAATAATGGAGAATCAAATGGGCAAGAAGATGGAAAACGGAATGGAAACAACTATTTAGGGTTCAGCGTCCCAACATGCTCGCACAGGGGTGTTTCAAGGGTGACTGCAAGAAGGTCCCCTGTAAGAACTACCAACCACCAGTTCAAAGCGCATTCCCTCCTGAGACCTCATGTTGCAGCTAGTATATTTTATTTGTAGCAGCAAATGGAGGTTTCCCAAAATTAGGGGTGCCCTTTTGGGGGCCCCAATAATAAGGACTATAGTATTTTGGGGTCTATATTGGTGTCCCCCTATTTGGGGAAACTACCATCTCATATTATATTGTATTATACCTAATTTTTCTATTATGCCAGAATCGTCAGGGTTTGTTTTTTTTAGATCCCGAGGCTGTCCCAATCCGATCAGCTCGTGGTCTGCTCCGTAGAGGACGTCAAGTTTTCCGGTCTTATGTGTATACATGGATTCATAGGTCTGTAAGGGTTCATAGGTATGCCCAGATTCATAGGTACATAGAAACTGGTAGGTATGTAGGGAGTATAGGTATATAGGGACGCATGGGTGTATAGGGGTTCATTTCGTTGGTACCTCCTCAGGTTTTGGCAAGATGTTCACCTTGTAACTTTGTGTTTTTGGTGCCTCCTCAGGTTTTGGTAATATTTCCTTGAAAACCTTGCACAAACCTGAAGAAGCACAAAAAACAATCCTGAGACCACCACCCCTGTCCCAAGACCTCCAAAACTACTTTTTTTGTACCTCCTCCGGTTTTGGCCAGATTTCGACCTCGAAGCTTTGTTTTTTTTTGGTGCGTCCTGGTGCTTTGCTAAAAATGCTGATTCGCATTTCCTTAGTACCACTCCAGGAACTCGCGAGTTCATGCCTTTTCCGATTCTCAAGATGGTTTGCTGTCACGAGTCGTCCGCTGAGGCGTTGCTTCGACGACGCAATCCATAATTCTAGTTTTCTGTAAGAAGTTGAAAAAATTGAATAAAAACCAGGACGGCTGCATTACTTTGAATGTAATTCAAAAGGGGATTTGTATAGACCTGACCCAGCTCCAAAGCCAGGAATCCAGGATTGTAGGATGTCTGTAGTGATAGTGGGACTTATGTGGACCGCAGCCAGTTGGAAAAGCAGGAATCCAGGATTGTAGCATGTCTGTCTTGATTTTCATTTAATCGAAAAAAGGGCTGATATGGACCGCAACCAGTTGGAAAACCAGGAATCCAGGATTCTAGAAGTTGTGTGTTTATTGGAAATAGATATTTCAGGGATATGTATGGACCAGAACCAGCTGGAAGAACAGGAATCCAACAGTAAAGGATTTCGGTAGTTACTTCTCATCAATTTTAATAAGTGATTTATATGAGCTATAATCTAAACTCCTTAAAGTGGGGTTATATAGGGGGTTATATAGGGGACTAGTATAGGGGTTATTAAGGGAGATACTAGGAGTTTAGACTACGGCTCATATGGAACCAACCAGCTCCAAAGCCAGGTAATCCAGGATCTCAGGATGTTTGTTCGAGTTTTACTTCGAATTAAAAAGGTACTTATATGTATGGACTGGTTTATTGAGGGATAGTACAGAAAGAAAGAAAGAAAGCCAAGCCCAGGAAGAGATTATTTTCATGTGTATGTGAATCAAGTAGTGGGGGGCCTATACACGGCAAACCAAAAACCCATGACCTTAGAATTATCTCTCAAACGTATAGCAGGTTTGAGAAGAAGTCTTCAAAGAAAAGATGAAAGTCCAGAGGAGAAATATGATTCACATTAGAACCACATTTGATGCAGTAAGAATCCAGGCTTGGATTTCAGACTTCCCAATCAAACTTTAAAAAATGGAAATCGGAATCTGAAAATTCTCAGGTAAATTTGGAACACATATTGTGAAGGATCTACAGGGAAAAGGAGGCCCAGCAAGAGGAAATTCCCATTTAGATTTGAACCGCATTTGCTAAGGGATCCATTTACACAAGAATCAAGAACTAAGGGATCTATATACAAGAAATTAAGAATCCAGGAGTTGAGAATTATCCTTTAAATTTCTAACTGCGTCTAACAGAGAGTCCATATCAAATTCCAATCCCGCAAAAAAGAAACCTCCACCTAAATCTGAGGCACATGTAATACAGGGCTGACGGGAAAATTCAGGAACCCAGGACCTGGGAAATCATCTGTAAGTGTGCAGCAAATTTGGTAAGCAATCTATATAGTTGAAATCAAGGCTAAAGATTGAGCCCCATGAGCCCAACGCAATGAGGCTAAAACAGACTAGTCCTCAGTACTTAGCCAAACTGAACTAAACTTATAGGGATTCATAGGTATGTAGGGATTCATGGGTACATGGGTTCATAGGCATATAGGGATTCAAAGGTATAAAGGGATTCAGAGGTATATAGGGATTTATAGGTATAGAGGGATTCATAGGCACAGAGGGATTTATAGGTATATAGAGATGTATAGGTATATAGGGGTTCACAGGTATAAAGGAATTCGTAGGTATCCAGGGATTCATAGGTATGTAGGGATGTACAGGCAGGCATATAGGGGTTCATAGGTATAAAGGAATTCGTAAGTATACAGGGATTCATAGGTATATGGGGATGCACAGGTACATAGAGACTCATGTGTATATAAGGATTTTTCAGGTATATAGGGGTTCATAAGTGTAGAGGAATTCATAGGTATATGGGGGATCATAGATGCATAGGCATACCAGGATTCACAGGTATAAACGGTTTCATAGGTACATGGGCATTCATAGGTATGTAGGGGTTCATGGGTATATCGGGATTTCTAATTCATAGGTATAGAGGGACTCATAGGTATATAGTGATGTATACGTAGATAGGGATCTGGCCCGGAACCAGGGAGTCACAGCTATATAGGGGTTCAGAGGTATATAGGGATTTATTAGTTTATAGGTATGTAGGGGCTTGTAGGTATATAAGGGTTTGTAGGTATATAGGTCTTTGCAGGTATATACGGATTCCATTTGGGTTCTACAGGCGCTCTATGAAGGTCATATAGGGGTTGAAGTGTAAGGTTTTCGGAGTCGAGGTTTCGCCGCTAAGGACCCCGACAGGCAGCTTGGCGTAGCGAGTTAGTATAAAAAGGCATAACGCACGGCAGTTGAAGTGTTCAGGGTTTTTTGTCATGTTCCAGTTTGATTATAAAGATCTTTGGGGGGGGGCGTACTCCACAAGGCTAAGCTCCACTTGCCGCAACGGTTTCCCGGAGGGGGTAAGAAGGCGGGCTGAGCGTCATGCGCACCTTGCACGCCACCACAGCACTGGGAAATGCAACCGGAGCTGTAGTCCAAGTGAAGCTCTGTAGAAACCTTGCGCATAAACGCAACAATCTCTGCGCTGCAGATCACTTGTGGAGTCGGCATAAGTCATTGCTCTTGCATGAGGAGAGCGGCGAACATGTCATCGCCGGCTGTGGTGAGCTGCATGCCTCTTTGCTGAGTACGAGGTTCTTTCCCCGAGCTCCAAGCTGAGGATTTTGACTGGAGTTCAGGGTCCGATATGTCTGCAAGACCTACATACCCGAATGTACCTTCCAAAGCCTGACCCCTCCACTCAAAATCTAAACTTCAGGTCTCTGCCCCTTTCCAGAATTCCTGAAACTCAAAGCTCTTCACTCCAAAGCCTGCGTTGAGCGATTGACTTCAAGGTGGAGATTTGCCTCAAAGATCTCAGGGAGGAGTTTGCGCAGTGCCCCAGCTGCACTTTCGGGATAACCACTAAGTATTTCTAGATTAAGAGATAGATGCATCCCTAGCCCGTCAGATCTGACAAAGCAAATGTGATTGCAAACCTGAAGCCTGGTAATTACATATTCTGTAGCACACGAAGCCCCACTGAAGCCAAACCCATTGGAGCCTCAGCCCTGAAATCTTGGACACCCGCTAATTTGAAGATGACTATGACGACCTTGCACATCCTCATCCAACTGGTGGTTCGCATGGAAAACATTGCCGAAAATCTTGATTGCTAATGTAATACCGAAGGTGCGATTTCACTGTCTCGGACCCCGTGGTGTCTTATCGAGAGACCGTCTCGGCGCCCTCGAAGCAGGCTTCTGACGAGGAGTTCTTCAAAGAGTTCAGTTCTGATAGCCTCAAGACAATGCGCCGCATCCATAACCTTCGCAGCCATTCCCAAATTAAGCACACAAGCATTCAACCCTCCAGCTGAAAGCTTGCAGCATACACCCCCAGTTGATGTGACTGTTAGTAACTCTTTCTAACATTCATGTTTGTTGCTCCATCACAATTTATTGATTTGTTAGGTGCTTTTCCTTGGATTGCATGGTTCTGCGGGTGTTCCATTCAGACTTTAGGTCTAATAGATATCTGTCTGAGCCTAAAACTGTATATCTCAACCCTACACAATCCATAAGATTGAGCCTAGTCCTATCCCCTACAGAATTTTGAGCCCTTGAGCCCGAAACTCACTGGGCGAATATTATTTGAATGTAGAAATATGTGCATAGCACATATGCCCCAAATGCCCAGTAGGAGCCTTAAAGGAGCCCATAATACATTCTCAAAAATCTTGTCATGGATCCGTGACAGGTCTGTCTTGCCAAGTCTCCAAATAAGCTCAATCGTCTGTCGCCTGGCTTGCCTATGGCGATACAGTTTAGCGTTAAGGGTGAAAGGGCACAGTGCACTTCAGTGTTAGAAGTCGTGCCTAGTACTTACCCGGATAGAATATGTAATTGCTTTGTGGTCCTTGTGCCGTCGTCAAATGTTGTCGTTACTTGCTGCCTCAGCACTGCCCTCTTCCATGCAAATTTGCGGTCTTGTTTGAAATCTTGCCAGGGTTCTGAGGTCTGATAGAGACGTCAAATGGTTGGAGAGCTTTGGGTGAGAGCTTTAGCGCCGATACTGCCGGGTTTGGTTTTGGCAGGCTTCGGGAGCTGGCGTTCGAAGTGGCCTGCTTGGTAGAGCTGCGCACTGTTTCGTCAGGTGAGGTTAAGGCACCAAACATATTTAGAGAATCCTCGTATGGGAGTGCCTGACCAGGTATCTTAAAGGACCTCCTCCATCCGGGGATACAGCCCTGGACGGTTCATCACGGCTCTTGGGCACACGAAAATGCTTGGTTTGCTCAGTAGATATTGGGACCGACGAAGATAGTCACAAGCTCTTGACGTGTCAAATGGCTGCATCTGTGTAGCTAAGCAGCTAACACAAGACCCTTTGCATGTAAGGCTCGAAAGTACTTCGTTAGCAAAAAACCTGCCGAACCCTAAACCCTGGCCACCCTAAACCCTATAAACCTATAAACCTTCCATAAATAAAACGAAAAGTACCAAGGTATTTGGCAGCCGAGCCCCTGGGCGAGGAGGTTGCCCGAGCCGTGGAAGACGGCAGCGCAGGGCCTTACGCGGAGGCGAAGGCGGGGAGCTGACATCCAGGGGCGAAAAGGCTAGTGGAAAACGACATGGAAGCCACTATAGTATTTAGGGTTTAGGGTTCAGGTTTAAGGTTTAGGGCCAGAGGAGTTGCTACGGTTTTTCCTTTCAATCCCTGTTTGGGAATTTGCCTTTGGGAATGTGCCCCTGCAGGAGAGAACCAAGATCTTGACCCAGTTCGGCTGGGACAAGCAGGCTTTTCTTCAGCAATACCTCTTTGGGGTGAGGTTAAGGCTGCCAACTAGGTATACAAGCCCATCCTAGTCCCTAATCTGTAAGGCCCATAAACCGTACTTATCTCTCGACTTATCATCTCTGTAACACCCTGAAATTTGATCTCTATACTATAAGGGTAGCCCAAATTCCTTAATAGTAGTGTCCATTTTATTTTCCATTGTCCCTATATAACCCCTATATACCCATTATGGTACCTTAAGTTCCTTAACAGCAATCGAGTTTCCAACACAACCAGGTTGCTCAGTCCAAGATCTGGTGCTTTGGACCTGCCGGAGACGGCGCAAATGTCTTTGTGGACACCACCGTGGCGGCGCAGCCTCTCGACAGAGCCAACACGGATTGGGCTACTGCTACTGTAATGGACTAGAGTGGTTGGAGCTTTTGAGATTGTAAGCTTTGGGGCTGAGGAATTTAGATTCTCGGGCGGGTTGGAGTTCAGGGATTAGATCGGATCAGTGTGTTAGGGATGGGTCCTTTGTGGAGGTGTAGAGGAATACAGACCTGCTGATGACGGATTACGGAGGGTTTGCGGCTTCCAGTTTCTCAAAACTGTCGGCCTTGCTTTGAGAGCCACTCTGCGCTAGAACTGCATACTTACAGGCTGTATGTCTATGAGATGCCATTGTGGGATAAGTTTCTTTTTGCGGCTCTATTGGGCAGCGTTTCCGCAAGCCCAGAAGCCGAAGAGCTCCAAAGACAGAGTGAATACCCAAGATAGTTGTTTAAATGTATTTTTCAAGCTGTTTCAGGGCTTACAGGGCAAAGTCTATGTAATGCCGAGGCCCGGGTGTAGAGCTGCTCCCCTCCTGCGGTAGGCTACCAGGTAAGACATTCTCCACAACATGCCTCTAAAGCCTGGGTTACTGCAGATGAGGCTTCTCACTGGGTTTCAATGTAGCCACAGTAGGGGTTTGGAAAGCTCGAAGGTCCAAGATGCACCCAGGAGCTAAAGGCTAATCTTCAAGAAGTCGCATGAGAAGGGCTTGGCAATCTGAACCTGCAAATTCCCCAATTCCTGCAAATTGCATGAACCAAGGTACTTGGGCGAGATCAGAGATCACGTCGTCAATGCCTTCCAGTGGCTGCGCTGCGTTTGCTTCGGATCAACAATCATGTCGGTCAGCATTCCCGAGAAATTCCACGAGGTTGGAATTGGGCATGGTATAAACTCCTCCTATGACAGTCATGGGATACATTCACAAGTTCTCACATCAGTTTCCACAAGTGCGATGCAGTAGCAACCCGGCTACATTTGCAGCTGTACTGGAAGGGGATTGCAGCTTGAGTGGTTTGAGTTCCAGGGTCGAGCAAGGTATCGGCTCATTCTTTCAAGAAGCTGCCTTCAAGCTGTTGAGTTCGTGTACAGGGTGGAGAGCCGTCTGTTTGGAAGGCTGTAGAGACCATAAGGGGCACATGTTGCCCAAATTAGAAACCTATTTCCCTTTACATAAGTATGGCAGACACCCCACCTCCCTAACCGAATTACTGACCCTATTGTCAAGCCATGGGACCTTACAATCCAAACCATAAACGTGAAGCCCTTGCCATCTCAGGTGGGCTACGAAGGAAGGTCCTCTGTGTGAAGAGAACCTGCGAGGAGTTCGCTTCAACCTCTCCGAGGCAGCCTGTGTTGCAGGGATGGCCTCAGAAATTTTCACTTCATTATTTCTAGCAATGGTCTTTGGATGATTTGAGCCTCTGAGGCTTCAGGATTTAGGGCGCAGGGCTTTGTGTTGCTTGAGAGGGTGTGGGGCTAAGGTCTTGAGCCTCTACCAACTGCGAGTACGAGATGTGAGCTATAGTCTAAGCTCCTTCAAGGGGGGTTGGGACGACTGTAGGGGTTATGAAGGAGGATACTATAGGAGTTTAGATCCTAAGCCCTACATCCTCAACCCTAAACACTATACTATAGGGGTTATTAAGGGGGATACTAGGAGTTTAGATTATGGCTCATGTGTATTCGAACACATCGCTGTGTAGGCCTCCCCAAGTCTGAGATCCCTCCCCCTAATATTAAACCCGCCCGCGCCTAAGGCTTAGGGTTTATAGGGCTTAGGATTTAAGCCCCCCACCCCCCCCCCCCAAAGACTGAATACTCCCAACATATTATAATATACCACATTATGGGAGTATTTAACATTGGGGGGGGGGGGGTGGAGGGAGTTAACATTAGGAGAAGGGGATTAGTAAGCAAGCCTGCGCAACCGAGGAAGCCAGAAGATGAGATTGGCTTTGCATTTTTGAGTGGCAGCTTGTTGCGTTCCACTTTTTGAGCTTCTCTTGTACAATGTTGATTCGGCATTTTGCATTTGGGGAGAGCCGGTTGAGTCCCACACCTTTGCCTGTTTCTTGCCAGGGATCCGCGCATGTTTCACCCGGTTGGTTGCCTTGAGGCTCAGGACAGCATTTGAAATTGGCACACACTTCTCGGATAGCTGCCGCGCATTTATTCAGTGCCCATACGAGACCCATACTTTGCGTTTACAAGGCCTCTGTTGCATTGTTTAGGTTTAGAACTCAGGCAGCCGGGCCCGGAAACAACGACAAAAAGCCTTTTAGGAGCTCCCAGCCAGCTACACTAGTGCATGTCTTATGAGACTTCATTTGACAACGAACATTACCTGCGAGTTTTGTCGGAGATTGGTACTTGGAAAAAGGTGAAATCCTCAGCTTTTTTTGTTACCCACCGAGACGTGCGCTCCTTTATGAACACAGCCTGTGTTGTGCTGGTTCAATGTGGCGGGACTGTGGGCTCAGGATGGTGCAAGCCGAACTGTACAATCATAGCTGGAGTAGTATTGTACGAGATGAGTGACAGCTGTCATCACACAGATGTTGCTCAGTATTTCTGGTTCCCGAGACTTTCTGCGATCCAATGCAATGGCTGGTAGCGAAGCTTTTGCAATACAGAAGCTCAACAGTTCTCTGTTTGAGCTTGAGACCTTTGCCCCGGACGCTCGAGTTTTAACCCAGGTTTGGGGACTTTTGGGGCACCCCTACTCGGCAGAACGTCATTGGCCGTGGTACCTCCAAAAAGTAACGATCTCAAAACTGTTGCAGTTCAAGTGTCAGGGACCTTTGGTCCACGGCCCTCAAGCCTGCTTCTCAACTCTCAACACCACCAAATTCTCAGCATGCATGCCATCTATGGACCGTGAAGCTTTGCATCCAGTGAAGCTTTGAATCCAATATGGTGTTACCAGAGAGTGCAAGATGGAAAGCTTGCAGAAAAAGGAACTGAGTATGAACCAAAGCTCCTCATAGAGGTATAGACCATGCCCAGAATCAGAGTCCTCCAACATCCTCATTTTCGTAGTCCCTCCACTTGCTATTCTGATGGTACATGTTGCTCGCAAGTCCCACGATCATAAGTCTCAAGCCTTGAGCCCTATAAAGCTTAAACCCTCAATGCCAACTGTTAAGCCTTGAGCTGCAGGTCATGCTCCACTCTGACAAAGTCCACCGAGGAGCCGGGCAGATCATGCCAGCCACTTTGCGACTGCAATTAGATGGCTGGGCAAATTATAACGACCTCACC